TTGGAACATTTAGCGTAAGTTTGAAAGTTCAGTCTTTTAGTACCTTTCTCACCTTTCCAAATCTAATGAATGAGGATACATCTCATTTTAAAGTCGTTTCAACCCATTACAAAAAAGTGGCGGGTAAACGGGCAACAAACTGCACTGCAACCTCTTTTCAACCATTGTTCAGTTGCTTAAATTATATTTCAATTATCCAAAGTTGAGATTATATCGAGCTTTGTTGTTGTTAAAAATACAGGAAATTTTACGAGGAAGAAAGCTATTATCGACACGTAATGCAGAATAGGTGTGTTTCTGGAGGAAGCAGATGACACTGATTTTATTGGGATGACAAGAAAAAACAGCATATATGTGCATTTAAGTAATTTAGAGCTGTGTTGTACTCTTAGTAACAAATTCATCTTGAGAAAATTTAGGGGAGGTTTAATCCTCAGACTGGCAATTTAAGTGCGCTTTCGACCCTCTCATACATCTTAGTGCTCGCACTATGATTTTGTAATTTACGCAATAGTGATTTAGGCGTGCTCCCTCGTTCATTCCTTTTATTGAAAGAGAAAAGTGAAAAAGAATTATTTTTGGTAGATTTAGAAAGAAAGTGTGAATTTTATTTGGTGAAAAAAGAATAGATTTTGTCCATATTTTACGGAGTATTAAATATGTTTTCAACTACACTAACACTATGTTTGGATGGAGGGAGGTAGAGGTAGAATAAGGTAAGATTAAAATTTACCTTGTTTGGGGGAGGAAATAGAGGTAGGTAAATGGAGGTGAGGGAAGGTAAAGAAACCGCGTAATTGTGCAATATGAGCACAAAATTTACGCTTCCTTCCCCTGCCCTTCTCTTTACTTCCGTTTTTTTCTTCTACTCCAGCGCATCTCTGGTTTCTTCTACTCCGCGTAACAGCTCCGGTTCTTTTTCTTCTTTTTCTTTTCTTTTTCATCTTCTTTTCTTCTTCTTCTTCTTTGGATCTCAAATCAGCATCAGCCATGGCCTATCTTCATATCTGGTAAGGTTTTTATACTTTTTTTTGCCATTTAAAGAATGCATTTTCTCTCTTTTTTTCTGGTTTTTTTCTTTATTCCAGTTTTCTTTTTGTCATTTATTTTTTGCCATTTTTCTGTTTTTATTTGCTATTTGTTAAAATTGGATCTTTGAAATTGATGTAAAAGAATTTTTTTCTATATTTTTTTGTTTGTTGAATTAGAAAGTTTGAAATTGATGCAAGGAATTTTCTTTTGTATTTTTTGTTCTTTGTTTAAATAAATGTTTGAAATTGATGTTAAAAAAATTTTGTATTTATTTCATTTTTTGTTGAAGTAGAATGTTTGCAATTGATGCAATTTTTGTACTCCGTATTTTTTTCGATTTTGCTTTCTCCCCACTGATTCAACCCCTTTCAACTTTTTTCATATTTTTTTTTTGCTGTTTTTTCTCTTTTTTCCTATTTTTTATTCATTGAAATAACATCTTGTGACTTTTTTCCCTGGTTTTTTGTTTTTTTTCGGTTTTGAGTTTTTTTGGGTTTTTGCTGTTTTCCCTTTTTTGTTTTATTTTTTGTGATTTTTTTTTTGTTTTTTTAAGTAAAAAAATAAGGGCATATAAGTAAATTTGTTATTCTACCTACCCCACATTATCTAATAAACATTCAAACACAGCCTACATTATCTAATAAACATTCAAACACAGTTTTTAACTCGTTACCTTCAATTACCTACCTTCAATTACCTACCTCCAATTACCTACCATTACCTACCTAATAAAACTTTTACCTACCTCCAACCAAACATAGCCTAAGAGAATGCTTGGTAAGGCGATGCTTGTGCTTTTGGCTTTTGCAAAATCACTTATGCATTACAAGTTAATCATTCCCAAATACTCCCTTTGTCCTATAATGATCTTTCCGGTTCGCAAAACGAAGAAAAATCCCAAGTTTTTTCAATCTATTTTATTTAAATATTAGTATAGAAATAAAAAATAAAACATACATATTTAAAAACTACTAAAAGTTCAACAAAACAAGTGGTGACAAGAATATTTTATTTTATCATATAGGCCATGAAAAAACACAAATAAATATAAATTCCCGTGAAGTTGGAATAATGCTCTGAGAAAGATCATTATAGGATTGAGGGAGTATCTTTTAAAAAATGTTCTCAATCTTAACAAAATTTGTTCATTTTGACTTTTTTCCAAATTAGATAAACATTGGTTATCAATTAAATTTAAATGCATAAAATTAAATACTACGTAGTAATAAGCGACATAGTACTTGTTAGAAAACAAATTTTAAAAAAATCATTTTTATACTCAACATAGAATAACCAACATAATTTTTATTTTATGATGGATAAGTTCATAAGACAAGTGAATAATCTTATAAAATCATGAGTAATTTTGAAGTAAACATGTAGACATATATGGTTTTTAAAAAATTGTAGTGCTTTTGCGTCTGCACTCGCACTCAAACTTACTTTTTACGGAGTATGATCTAGGTTGTACTCTATATGCATCTCAACAATCTACTGAAAAAGGGAAAAAACAAGTGAAAATACGTTTTATGAAAATAAGGAATCTCGCTTGGTGCACAATTAGACAAAAACAGACACATAAAGACACTCGATGTCTAAAGCAAAAACGAGTGTTTGTGTGTATTTGTTTTGGTCTTGGTATATACCAAGCGGGTTCTTTAGCACCCCTCTCGTTTTATCACAATAGGTGTCCGGATTTCATTATGTTTATCGAAAATTGTGCTATTTAGTTTTTCCTTAGATATTGCAACTCCCCATTGATTAATTGTTTGGAATATTTCTTTCATTTGGGGTTTAATGTCCAAAGACTATACAGACAATTTCACCATTAATAATTCGACTCAAGGGGAGGGAAAATGATTCGTTTGCAATCAATTGTACTCCTTCGAAACTCTTGACATGACGCTTCTTGCTCGGTTGCTGGATGGGGTTATGATACATGCTGGAGCTGAGCTGGGAGGAAGCTACTAGATTAGTTATCAGTTGTAACTAATTCTGTTCCATTTCTTTTATTCTGTTTCAATTCTGTTTTCCTTCCTTGTTGATACCCAATCAGTATAAAAAGAAGAACTGCTCTGTATTCAGGCATGCGAATGATAATAAACTCTTCTTCTTCTTCCCTAATCTCTTCTGTGGTTGAAATCTCGGTTCTGCCCTGATTCTACCTTCTTGAATCTTCGAAATATTCTTGTTTCCTAGATTTTCTGTTAGTCTGGCACCAGGTTAATGTCGTCATTGCAGTGAGAGGCAGATATGAGCAGGGTCGCGAATCATCGCTGAGAAGACACTAATGTGGGTCGCAAGTACTACGAAGATGGAGTCGCAACTCAAGTTAGAGGAAAGAAGATGAGCAATTTGAGCATTATGCATGCACCAAAAAGAAATGTTTGATTCATAAACAAAATGGTCACAAAATTTACAAACTTACTATTTGTGAACTTCAATAAAAAAACATTAAATTGTCTAAAACAGTTTTAAAATGAAAATTTAAACTATAAATGGTAAGTTTGTGAAGTTTGTGACTATTCTATTTGTGAACCTAGCATTGCTCAATTTTATATATCAAAACTAATTATAATTTATATTAAATTTATATTATAATTAAATATACTTTTTTCACAATTATTGGTCAAAAAATATCACTATTTAACTTAAAAAAAGTTAAAATAGGGAAAAAAACGTAATATTTTGTGTCAATTATGCACATATTTCTAATTCTTTGTTTTAAATTTAGGAAAAAGGTAATATTCTGTAGCATAAATATTTATATTCATATTTTTTAAATATAAATTTATTATGTAATATGTAAAAAATGTACTCGGTAATATTTTGAAGCATACCACTTATATTTTCTAATGATTTGATACTTTAATAATATTATTAATCTATCTTCTCTATATTGAATATTAAAAAGTAAACAATTAAATCTTTCAAGATTATTGTCAATGATTTTTTATTTTAATGTATATATGAATTGATTATTTTTATCTCATAAATCGAATAGTTCTAGAATAAAATTGAATAAATTTCATAATTAGTCCTTTATATTAGGGGGGTTTCCATATTTAGTCCTCTATTATCAAATATTACTCCCGTAGTCCTTTTTTTAAAGGTACCTTTCCACAAATGGTCCTTTTTTGATCTTCTGCCATATTCGTGTTAATTTAAAGGCTAAAAGTATAATTTGACATCAACATTATGTTTAGTAACGTGTTCTGATATTGGTTAAGAGGATAACACAAAAATAATGACTATGGTTGTGGGCTACGGTTTTGACGAAAGACCACATTTGTAGACTATGGTTGTAGTAGAAAGCAAGTATAATTCACAAACGACGCAAACAGAACAGCCTTTGAAATTGTGTATGACAAAAAAGATATATTATCATTGTGAAATTATACTTTTAGCTCTCAAATTAACACCAACATGATAGAAGATCAAAAAAGGGACTATTTGTGGAAAGATACCCATAAAAGAAGGACCACTAGGATAATATTTGATAATAGAAGACTAATTAGGGAAACCTCCTATTATAAAGGACCAATTATAGAATTTACTCAATAAAATTTATTGATTGTTTTAAAATATAAATGATCATTATAGTTTTTGAAAATTATCAAATTATGGTAATAATTTTAAGTTTTAAATTAAATTTAGATCGGATTAGATCATATATCCGATCACATTAGATCATATCAAATCTAATGTAATCAGTTCAGATCAGACTAAATCAGATCTAATTAGATTATATCTGAAGTTTAAAAAAAAATCAAATATGCTTAAATGTAATGGAGTTGATCCAAACAGGGATGATTTTGCTAACATTTTCTTCTTCTCCTCCGGTTCTCCTGCGCTGCACGCACTCCTCCTGGCCGGCCCCTCCACACCACCAATCACTCTTCCCATTTCATCACTTGTTTCTTTCTTTCTCTATTAGCTGTGCTCTGTAAATCTATGACATCTGGCCCCATCCTCTATCACTTTGTCACTGTCGCAATCCCTTTATTATGTGGAGTACTATTTTTTTTATTTATTTCCAGTTTTCATCATTATCAGTTCTCTCAATTCGCCGATTGAATCCTCTGCTCTGATGATCGAAGCAGGGGCGTTCAGATTGAACATCGTCATCCGCTTCGAGGACGTGTTCTGGCGGCGGTTTCGTCTATGGAGGCTTCGTACTACGCACAATCTCACGATCGCCGCCGGGATTTGCCCCCGCCGGCCGCCCTAGGGTTCCCTCTCTCCTCGGCGTTTCTGCTGGTCCTCGTTTTCGGCGTGAGCGCTGCTGTAATCTGCTGCTATTACTACTGGGACAAACTCTCGTTCCTCCGCCGCTCCCCGCTCCCTGTCACCTCCGATCTCGCGGATTCTCCCGGCGTTGATTTTGGCCGCTGGGAGCTGAACGTTCTTCCCCAGGTATTCCATGCTCTATCTCTCCCGTCGGAATTGTGTCTGGAATGATTTCTCAACGGTACTCCAAGTTACACCAAGTCAAAACACAGAGACAGACACAGACAGTGCAATACAGATACTTTGTGTTTGTGTTGGTTTGGTGTACACTTGGGATACCCCATGTTCTAGCTTAATTCTTCCATTAATGATGCTCCGTAATTGATGAGATCTATTCAGCCATAATAACTTACTTAAAAACTGAGATGGGAGGAGATATGAATTTTCATATTTCCGGGGCCATGGTGAAAAAAATTTAAATTAGATATATTCATATATTAAAAATTTTTTAAATGAAAGGTTTTAAAATTTTTAAAATTTGAGAGATATTGATGCATGAATTTGATATTTCTCTTAATTGTTTATCATTTTCGCCACTGACTACCAAATTTACTGTCAACCACCAAGTTATCAGTGATTCCGCTAATCACTAATTACCTCGTCATTTTAAATTTCTTCAAGTAACTTAATTTTAGATTTCGAAATTAATTTCATTTCTTTCAGATTTTAAAATTATTTCAAAATTTACATCCTATCATATTTCTAAAAGTCATCGAACAGAGTTAAAGTTAATACTCCCTCTCCCCTAATAGTTTCTCATATATTACTCACAAATTATAAGGCCTAACTAAATTGTTTTTCTGACTTATCTTTATTACCTATAGTGTTTAATAAGTGTCATTGTTTATTTGGTAAATTTTCGTGATTATTATTTCAAGCTTCCGATAATTTTAGTTTGTCTATGCTTTTCCATTGGTTAACCAATCAATAAGTACTTTTGTCACGATTAATTTTGTAGATTTTTTTTAGTTTTTAAATATATATAAATTGTACTTTTTATTTTTATACTAATTTGTAAATAGAATTATTTTCAAATAAACAAGATTTTTTACATTATTTGAAACATGAAAAAAAATTAACGGAAGAAATTGTTTTTATGGATTGGCTTCTTTTGACATTACAACCCAATTGAGGCACCGTATTTCTTTCTTTTTTAATATGACATACTCTCTGTATTTTTATCTTTTCATTTGATTTTTCAGAATGTTCAATACAATACTTTGAGTGTATATATATAATTGTATAAAAATATAATATTTCAAAATTATATTTTAAAATGAATTTATTGGCATTAAATGGGAATTACAATTCAAAATATTTTTTCTCTAATTTGTAGTCAAAATTTAAAAAAGTTGACTATAAAATCAAGAGGGGGAGATGCAAAAGAGACGATAAGAGTAAAAATAGTCATAATATGACATCGGTGTGACCGTATCCAATGTCAAAAGGACATCGAAAATTGTGCAATACTTTAATTTAAAAAAAATGAAAAGAGTATATTTAGTTATATACTCCCTCCGTCCATAAAAAAACTTCTCACTTTTCTTTTTCGTCCGTCAACAAATAAACTTCCCGTTTCCTTTTTAGGAAACTTTTTAATGTCAAAAAGACCTCATTACCCTCACCCTACCCTCTTTCTTACTCTCTATCTTTTTTCATCTTACTTTAATCCTCTATCGATCCACAGTCCATACATCCCCTCTCTCTCTTTTCTTTTCTTCTCTTTTTTTTTCTTTCTTTCTTTCGCTTTTGATCCACCCACTCCCTCTACAATTTTTTCTCTCTGTTCTTTTTCTTCAATTCTTCATTTTTTTCTTTTCTTCATCTTTCTCCACTTCTCTTTTTTCTTCTTTTTTGTTCTTTTCTCTTTTCTTCTTCTTTCATTCACCCCTTTCAGATTTGTCCCATCACGTACGAGCAGCGAAATAGTAGGGCGGTGGTCGGAGGTGCCCAACGATCAGATCTGTGCCTCTTCCGACATAGCCGCCATGAATTCCATAGATTTACAAAATCATCATTACACCTAGCCTCGCCTCTCTCCGTCAAAACTCGAATACTAAACAGATCTAGAACAGATCTACGAGAGATGGGGGTTACGGAGGGGATGGCGGCAAGAAGAATCAGAGAGTTCATCCGGTGGTGCCGGAAATTTGGCAGCGGCGATGTTGGAGAGTTGTCGGTGGTGGCGAAGAATTGCCGGTGGTGGGGTTGGCGAAGAATTGACGGTGGTGGGGTTGACAATTAGAGATGGGTTACTGTAGATCTAAAGTTGCAGGGGAGGGGACAGGGGTAATATGGGAAAGTCAAAGCAAATTTTATCACACATTAATATGCGTGCCCGGTCGAATCGGAAAGTTCTTTTATGGACGGAGGGAGTACTTATATTGAAACTTGAATGAATATCTCAATTTAGCAAATAAAGTTTACAGAGTATATATAGAGATAGTTTGGGCTATTATCACAAGAGGCCCACAACTAGTTATAATTAAATAGTGTTCTTGCTAACATCCCTCTCAAGCTAAATCGAGTGAAAGTAGGAGGAAGCTTGGAGATGAGAGTCTGATAATGCTGTGACGTCAGCGGCTTGGTTAGAAAATCCACAAGTTGATCCTCTAAAGCAACATGTTTAGCACTCATGGATCCATCATTAACTTGCTCTCAAATAAAATGACAATTTATGCCCACATATTTCATGCGCTTATGGAACACTGAATTTTTTGTAGAGACAAATAGCTAATTGATTATAACAATAAAATATAGGTGGTGGCGTAGCAATATGTAAATATGTAAGAATGTAAGTGAGCCACATAACCTCGGAGGCAGCAGCAGAAAGGGCCGTATTTTCGACCTTTGCAGAAGACTTTGATGCCCATATCTGTTTTTCACTACTCCGTGACACAAAATTATTTTCAAGATATATAAGATAGCCTGTAGTGGATGATCATTTACTCAGAGTAGCCACGAAGGCGCAAATCTCACCTACAAAAAACAATATCATACTAAAAGTAGGTTTATTTTAAAATATTTTTTTTAAAATATTAAGTTTTTATAATATTTAACTATTTAAAATAGGATACCACAATTTGATTAAAAATACAAAATAATTTTTTTGAAACAGAGGGAGTAATAATAATAATTGTCTCGTCATCATCATCATCTACTAGAAAAAATAACAAAAATTATTTTAATTATTAAAAAATAGATGACATATGGACCAATCCTATAAAGACGCCTCATTTTTCTTAAGAGTACAAAACTTTATCGAAAACTTAGAGGTAACCAAGTTAGTTTATCCAAATGTATCCAACTTTGTGACAATAGGTGTCTGTGTATGTCTATGAGAAATTGGTATGCACATAGGATACACTAACTTTAGGATACCCCTAGCAAACCTCAAACTTTATTATTCCCTCACACCATAGTTTACAATATACGAATAAAATTATTTTTATTTGAATATATAATTATTTGTGTTAATTAAAATTTTAAAATAAAATTTATGTGCTTAAAAGCTAAGGAGTATATACAAGTGCTAAAAGTGACTATTACGGAGTATATTTTAGCAAATGCTCAATAAAAATATATTCTCTCGTCACAAATTAACTTGCGTGTAAAGTATTAGTAGGATTAAGATCAAACTTCATTATTTTCTTTACTAATTTGATACGGAGTAAAATAATATAGTCATGTTACTTGTTATTTCATAATTCATACTCGTACTGCAGAACATATGATATAAATTTTAAATATGTAAGTTTTATTTTTTTAAATTCAACTTAATTCTCAAATAAATTGATTTTAAAATTATTTCAATCAAATAACGTAAATCAAAACATGCGATTTAATTGGGACATAAAAAGTAGAAGTATACATGATACTCCCTTCGTCCCAAGTTGGATTACAATTTTTTTGGAATCTATCTTTTGATATTTGCTTGTTTATATATTTTCATTGATCATTAATAAAATAAAATATTCTTGTACTCCGGGTAATATCTTGTTTTAAAAAACTTTCGAAGTAATTTTTTAATACGGAGTATAAAAATTCTATTAATTACGTAGGATTTAATACGAATTCGGGACGGAGGAATCATAATTTAAATGTGAATAGTAATTGGGAAAAAAAATTGGGATAGAGGAATTATGAATTTTTGGTGATTTTTATGTGGTTGGCGCAGAAGGAGAAGCAAAATCTGGGGCAGAGCTTGCCGGTGTTAATGCCCGGAGATGAAGTGCCGAAGTTCATTGCGTTGCCGTGCCCGTGTCGGCCGCCGAGGTCACTCTACCTGCCACCACCACAACTAAGCACTCCATGGGACTGAAATACTGCTTTCTTCTACTCCATCATTATGATTACTCCATAATATAACAGTCTTTAATTTGGAGGAAAAAAGGGCCAAGCTGTTTGGCTTGCCCAGATAAATACTTGTACAATATTATTATATAGGAGGGGTTCCCATAACATTAGAACCTCATGTCATTGGATGACCCTGGGGTTCTATGGTGCCCGTTCGTAAAATTGACGATTCATATGCCCTAATCCACCAGTAAACCCTGCCCCGAGTACACCCCACTCCCCTTCAATTGCTCCCCGCAAGTTAATTTTGTCTTTGGAGTCAACTTGAGTCTAAAGTCAAAATTAACTTGGGGTGCAATTGAAGGAGGTGGGGCGGGTTGGGGCAGAGTGGGGAGATTTACCGGGGGGTTAGGAGGGTAGAACCGTCAATCTTACGAACGGGGCATCATAGGACCCAGGGTCAACCCTAGTTGTTGAAACAATATATGAACAAACACAATCATTGCTAGAAAGGAATACAACGATAACAGACGAAGGACAAGGAAACAATATGAATCACATAATACTTCTTGCTTGCTATGAGTATCAACTGCAAATTCATTTGATAAAATGACAAAGTTTGAGTTTCCAGCTGAGAAAAACAAGAGCACCAAGAACAAGGGGACCTGTCAAATTGGTTCCCTCCATCGGCTCTCCTGATTAAAACCGGTGTGGGCTGTCTTGATGAAGAAGATCCATGACCAATTGTTTGCCCGCTTTGTTTTTTGGGCTCTCTTCGATTGTGGGTCCCGCTTGCATAGCACAGGCATTCGGCCGATGTTTCACCGTCTGGCACATGCATCTGTTTTTGGACGACATCTTAATATTAGAATTTGAAAAAATCATCTCAAAGCTCCTTCTTAGTCCCAATGACAGTACTACTGAACATTACCAAACTGCTTCTATTTGATGTGAAAGCTGAGAATCAGTTACAGAAACACACTGGAAAACACCCTTATGAACTTGACAAATCTAAACTCACCAAAAGTACATGTTTTCTACATGACCACACTTGCACTTTAGGTAAACCATAGCAACGGAAAGGAAATCCAAACACAACAAACTTCCCATATAAAACTTACCGTATAATGTGCATATGTTCAATATCACGACTTAGGTTGGCCTAGCTCCAAAGTACATTTAATGGTTGCTTGCGTAAATCTTCCCTCTAACACGATATTGGTGTTCCCATCCTAGATGTGATCTCTAAGAATTCCTCGAAGGTATTCTAGCTGTTCAAATCCCCCTTGAAGCTTTTCCCACTGCAAAACAATATCAACAACCCAGAATATGAACAACAATGACATATAATCCTAGGGTTCAACAACAACTAAGGATCTGTAACACACCCAACCACTTGAGTTACTCTCTAGTGGAAGTATATGCAGATAATAATCACCTGGTCATAACTTGTGTATTCTATGGCAGTATGGCTCAAAGTGATTTATAATTCTTGTGTATTCTATGGCAGTATGGATTTTACGAGGACTGACCCCAAATATGACCATTTGGGTTGAAAACCCATTTCTATACAGCATCTAAGATTAAATACAAATTGAATGGGATAGGCTCTCAAAGAAGACATTAAATGTCAGAATTTACAGAACAATTGCTCATCAACTGAGCTGGTTGCAATGTGACACCTCTTTTTCTTCTTCACCAATAAGAAGTATTTCCATTAAACATTTTGAATGGTTTCAGAAGACCATTCATTACTATGAAAAACAAGCAGTACAAATAGAAAACTTACTTCCTGTTGAGAAACAGATACAAGTTTCCACCCAGCAGCAGTTATGTACCGGCGCTTCAGCATTGTATGTCCCAATGGAGATCCTATGTATAAAAAGGGTTAAAACAGTTGTAGCTAAGATTACAAGCATTATATAGAAGAATACTTTTTTTGTATGCTTCACTCTTAACCTTTATACTGTTCTTTTACTGTCTTTATATGTAAGAAAAAGATTGAGACTGAGATGTACTCATGTACCCACCAGAGTTTCTTGAGAAATGGGTTGGACCATCAATCTCAAGAGCAATTTTTTTGTCAATAACAACTGCATCCAATGTGTAATCATCGACGCGATATTCTCTTACCCAATCAAACCCGGTGCTAACAAGAAGGCGGACAACCTCTTCCTGGAAGGAAGAAGTCACTTTCTGATTAAACCTTTTGGTTCTTCCGGCACGAGAAATTTTCTCCTCTAGACCACTTTCAAGGAATAAGTGGAGATTTGGGTACTCAAGCTTCAGGCACTTGTTAGCAAATTGAACTTGAGAGGCGAACACGACATCCTCCTTGTATTGCTCAGAAATTCGTTGTTTCTCAAAACGGCTCATCGCATTCCACACATGGAAGAAGAATATTCGATTCATTTGCCCAAAAACAGAAAACGACCAAGATATGTTTCCAAGCTGATCCCTGTTGAAGACAAGTACAGGCAGAGTTGAGACTCCTTGTGTTCTATCAGTGGCCCTCTCTGCTCCACTTTCATCGCGGTGAGCGAACATATCATTACTATTACCATTGTTACAACTATCATTAGAGCAGCATTGGAATTGATTGGCATCATTGAAAACATCATCTAAAACATCTAGTAATTGATTGACAGGTTCATAAAGAGAAGCAAATGCCCAAAGCATCTGAGCCATTTCTTGAGGCTGAAAGGTGTGAATTATAGCACATGCCCTTCCTGATAATCCACAAAAGAGTTCAGGAGCCGAGTGCCTCATAGAAGCAAAAGCACCGGCTACATTAGCAACATTTTGTGAATTGAATTCATCAACCTTAGCCAATGCTACCTCGGCAAGTCTATCCATTTCTGAGAGATAAAGTAGCTCCCCACCAACCTTTGACAATGCCCAAGCAATATTTGAAATGCCCTGCGCTGAGCACTCGGGCAAGGAAGCCATTGCAATGCCCACAAGCATACACATCTCCTTTTGACGAGCAAATGCCAACCTACGGTTCCCAGCCATCGAAACCTTCTCCATGTTCTTGGCAATTCTATGCAGTGCAGTGGCAACATTCAAGGGAGAAAGAGGCGAAGGGCTAAGCCCTCTCACAACAGCCATGATTGTGTCTGCAGTGACCTCCAGCACTTCCTCGGCCGTTTGCGCATCAACAATTGCTTTGTTCAAGTTAATTTCTTTCCTGCGGTCTGATGCTCCTGAAAACTGGGAAAGCCTCTCCACAAATGTTTCCATGTTTTTAGCTTTCCTTTCTTCAAACATACCACCAGCGAACGCGCTTATATTCCTCCTGATATCATTCATCTTACCAGACAAGTGCTCACCCTCCAAATCAAAACCATCTTCCTCAGAATCAAAATCCAAGAAATCGTCCTTTTCGACGGACGGTTCAACCTTTCTGGCATCAGATTTTTTCTTGGTCTTCTTCTTGTTCTTGTTCTTGGCGTTTCTAACCATGCTCCTTGCAACCGCGGTCAGCCCGCGGGCCTCAATCGACTCAAGGGCAATCTTCCTAGCCACCACACACCAATCCATCTCCTCAGTATCATGGAGCAACCTAGATTTGGGCAGCTTTTTTGTCTTCTTTGAAGAAATACCCTCCTCACCTGTGCTCTTCTCTCCCAGGAACTCGGCTTCCCAATCTTCATCATGTTCATCTTCCCCGCTTTCGCCAATATCACAATTTAAGACTCTAGCACCGACTTTATTATAATCTGTAGATGGGTTTATGCAATGGAAAAGGGCTGCCGGTTTGGATGAACGATTGAGTCTGTGAGCAGCAATAGGAAACGCATTTCTGGGAGTGTCGAAGATAAGACAGAGAGATGGAGTTGAAAGAACGGGATTCTGGAACCTGAAGGATGGGTTGAGCATCACAGTTGCCATGGATTGCTCACTGTGCAAGGTGAGAAAATAAAATAAAATCTTCCACAATGGGGATTAGGATTTAGAGGCGGTTTGTTTCAGTCTCTTAATGGTTCAGATATCTGAATGATTCAGCACTTAGGTTCAGACTGTTTGTTTCAGCCTCTTAATGGTTCAGATACCTGAATGATTCAGCACTTAATGGTTCAGACTGTTTGTTTCAGCCTCTTAATGGTTCAGAAGTCTGAATGGTTAAGAGATTTGCCTCTGAATGGTTAAGTACTATACATAGTCTGAATGATTAGTATCTCTTATCTGAATTAATCATACATTTGCCTCTGAATAGTTAAGCAATATACTAGCTCTTAATGGTTCAGACCTCTTACTGGTTCAGCCTCTTACTGATTCAGCACTTATCCATTCAGAAGTTGCCAAACAGCCCCTTACTCCGTAGGATTTAGAAGATAAAAAACATTAAAAAAATAGGGAATAGTTAAATAATACTAGTAATACTGAAACATATGTCCTTTCTCAATATAGTATTTAATTTTTTTTATTCCCTAAATAGTGGTGGGAACAAGATTGAATGTTTGATATTTAGTGTACGATACAGTCGGTAGAATAATTTTTATTTCATGTTTATCTCCGCAAATTATTTAATTGCGGGAAATCCAGTTTTTATCTTCTCACATTTGAAAATGTATGTATACACATTCGAAAATAGATGATGTTCATAACCAGGAGCTCAATAATGTTGAACAATGTGTTATCATTAAATATGTATATTTGCAGTAGTCTTTGTCCATTGACTTTTAGATTTTGATAATAACAAAAGGTCAACCTCATTTGAGTTTCAAGATTGGGAAAGAGTTTGATTCAAGAAGGTTCAAGATCGAAAACTTTATTATCTTGGTTCGTTAGTTCTTTTAGATCTTAGAATGTGTGTTAAAAAGTATGAAATCTCTAAGGTTCGTCCATTGAAAATCCTTCATTGACCGTTTAATTAGGCCTTTTAATGGGTAAGTTTCTCTTTTATCCGAATAGCGTTTAGCATATTCGAATAAACAAAGAACTTCAGTTGTCTGATTTGAGTGTGACTTACCCATTATTCGAATAGCGTTTAGCATATTCGAATAAACAAAGAGCTTCAGTTGCTAAAAATTGCTGTTAGGCACCCCCAATTTTATAAAAGTAACTTTTAGGTCCCATCATTTTTAAAAATATACTCCGGGGTACCCTAAAATATCCAAAAAGTTACTATGGGGGGTTTTCCTTCTTTTCCTTTTATTATTATTATTATTATTATTATTATTATTATTATTATTATTACAATTATTATTACTATTACTATTACTATCAAGATGATAATAATAATAATACTCCCTCCGTCCCACTATATTTGTCCACTTTCATTTTTACACATCATCCAATGCACTTCTTTAATCCATTTTATCTTGTAATTTGTATATTAAAAAATTATAAAAATTATATATTAATAATCTATATGTTAAGACAAATCAAACAATTCAAGATCACACATGACTATATTTAGGCTTACACATTGAGAGAATTTGATGAGTCAAAGTGCTTAGATGAACAGTTCCAAAAGTCAAAAGTGGACGAATATAGCGGGACGGAGGTAGTAATTATTATTATTATTATTATTATTATTATTATTATTATTATTATTATTATTATTATTATTATTATTATTATTATTATTATTATTATTATTATTATTATTATTATTTTAGTGCGTGTAGCGAAAATCCAATGCAACTCAATAGGCAACGGGGCAGCGAGTTGCAGTTGCGGAAGATAATGATGAAGTGACTAATAATAATAATACTCTGTAATAATAGTAACACTAGTAATAGTAGTAATAATAACAATCACAAAATAATAATATAAAATTAATATTAATAATAATAGTAATAGTCACACAATAATAATAATAATAATAATAATAATAATAATAATAATAATAATAATAATAATAATAATAATAATAATAAACAAAAATTCTTCCAAAGCAAGTTTTTGGATATTTTAGGGTACCCAGAGTATATTTTTAGAAATGATGGGAACCAGAAGTTATTTCTACAAAATTGAGGGTACCTAACAACAATTCTTGGGAAGAAGATGATGAAAAGTTAACGAAGAAAATGGATTTGACGGAGGGATGGACGGAAAGTCTCCCGGAGTTAGTTTTCAGAGAATTAAAGGTACCCCGGAATATATTTCAAAAAAGATGGTTATGCTTCAGTTGCTTGTGTTTTTAACCCGCATGTTCGAGTAATTTTTGGACTTTTTCGAATAAACTAACAGTTCCAACTCTCAAATAGATGTACTTTTTGAATATTTGATCCCCATTAACTCTCTATCTTATATAAACTACGTAGCTAGGGTCGTAATTTGAGTGCAGAATATTATTATTACATATTCTCTTTGCAAATCAAAGAGTTCTCTAAATTACACAATCATGACGTTGTAGTTATTTTTTTCTTTTTGAAGAAAGGGTATACACAATCTTGACGACTTGACATTGTAAGAAGTATACAAAAATAACGAGATAGTTTATACTCTATACGATTGTAAAAGATTAATCTAGATTGAAGTTAGTTGGGTGGTATTTCAAAAATAATCAATTGAATAAGACGTGAACTTTTAGTATTGAGTATGTGGTGTTCTTCACTCGAACCATACCTGATGGGTGTATTCCCACCCAGGACCGGGGCCAGATCGAGTGCTACAACAACCAGCTGGGTGGGTCCAAGTACAGTTCAGTAAAAGGAAATTAGGATGAGCACAGATCTGGCCGAACAGGTCTACCAAACCACCCAGGTGGTTTGGCACCCTTGACGTTACCGCTTAGTAAGGAAGACTTGACTGAGAAATTCATCAACCAACAAGGTGTCTCTTCGAAGGAACTACCCGAGTGCGTCATTGGGACGTGTACGATCCGACAACCTAGCATACTTGGAAGATAGCGCTTTGAAGCAATCTGGTCGGACCAAATTCCCTGTACCAACACCAAGAGATATATCTAGACATCTGGGCCAAGTACTACACACCAAAAGGACGGAGCATAACTACTAGGGTATAGGGACTAGTGCTAAAAGACAAAGCATAGTCAGATCAAACATCCACATCCAGGAAAGCCAATTAGGAGTAATTTACTTAAATAGGACTAAAACATAATGACTTTCCCAATATAGGACCATATGTTTTTATTTCCCAATGTAGGACTTTTGGTCATTATGAGTTAGTCATTATTCAAGTAAATGTCCATCTTTACTGGACATTATTCCTCCTACTAAAACATTAATAAGTCGTATTTAGGGAATAATAAAGTTTAAGTCCTAGATTAGTAAAGTCATTATGTTTTAGTCCTATTTAGTGCAAATTTCACTTAGTGATTATACCCATCAAACATGGATAGCAATGAAAGTATGAGTATCACATCTTGCTCGTGGCAGAAATGAGAAATTGTCCACACGTATAAAATTATTAATGATGTGAGTAAAAATATGTTACTCCCTCTCCCTCAAATTACACTACGTCAAAAACAGATGCTGACAACTGTTCTTTTTAGTAGTCTAACTGTGCAAGTTTTAGTAGTCTTCCGAGCAGCTGTCTGATATATTTACAGACTACTGTTTAAAAACAATTGTGTAATACAGTTGACGACACCTATTTTGTGATGTTTCAGAATACATGTTTTTGAAGTTGTCATCGTATGAGTAAAACATCTGTTTTCTAGAGTTAAAGACAACTGTGATATTTTATTGTTTATTTATAATGAATATTACTGTTGTTTTCGACTTCAGACTTCTATTGCGTGGTGCTGTCGTTCAACAATATAAACATCTAATTTCAAAAGTAATTGAAAGATATATCAGACTGCTGCTTGGAAGACTACTAAACAAAAATAGCATCAAACAACTGTTATCTTGTGTTATATTTCAAAAATGTAGACTACTAATTTTGTTGTATTTTAAACAACCGTTTCTTTCACTTATATAGTGCTCAATAACACTACGTTTTTTTTGTAGTTGTCATTGAAATATTCAAACTACCTTTTTACATAGTAGTCAGATTGTAATTCAGACTACTGCTCCGAAGACAACTAAATATGTTTGCATAAGACAACTACTACTTTGTGTTGTATTTGTAAAATGTAAACAACTATATTTGTTGTATTTCACACAACTGTTTATTTCTATTGTCTAACGTTTACTAACAGTCCAGGTTTGTGTAGTTGTCCTTAAAAGATTTAGAAAACTGTTTTAATACATTGTAAAGCTATTTGAGAGACTACTATATTTCAATTTAAATTTATATTTAATAAATAAAATTTATTTCAATTCCAAAATAATGATCATGAAACAAAAATAAATTCTAAAATATAGAATATATTCAATAATATCTAAATACATACAATCCAAGTCTAAATAATTTCCAATAATTTAATATTTACATAATTAAAGTCACTCTAATTGTCCATTCAGCATGCCTGATTTAGTTATTTGTCCCCTCAATAACATTTTTGAATACATCTCTTGCTCTAGCAACATTTTCTTGTAACGCATCCACTTTAGTCCTCAATCTGCATACCATTAAATAATTAAAATGAATGTTTGNGATGAATACAAGTAATTGCGGCACTAGTGATAATTTATGCACAAGATGACAGATGAAGATGACAAAGTTACTTTTTGAGATTTTAAAAGTCATAAGCATGTTTATATGTAAAAAAAATCTGTGTGCATGGAATCTTTGTCAACAACCAACCCAAGAGAGACGGTTTGCGTTACTCTTGATGCATTTACTTACCAAAACTTCATAGTTCATAGAGAAATAGATGCAAAGGAATTTTAATTTGCCATTTTGATCTATTGAATAATGGATTTTTTAGTTCCATTAGCTACACTAAACTTTCATAGAATCTTTGTGTTGATTAAAATTTACAAGTATCAGAAATTGGAGAAAAAGAAGCTAGAAATGGGAGGGGTGTAATGTAGGCTACCTTCCTAAGTTTAGAGAAGGGGTTAAAATGTTTTCCCAAAGGAAAAGGAAAAAGTTCGAGCTACAAGTTTAGAATGCTTCTTGGTTAATAGAAACAGTGCCGCAAAGAACCGCTCGTTGAAAACTAACCTTACCAGACTGTGTGGTATTGAACCAATTGAAGCATGTTTCAAGTCAAATTAATGCACTGTCCAAGAAGATAGATATGTCACAATTTTCTCAGAAGAGCTCTTGTCCTTACCATGTTGTACTTGTATTCAGCTGCAGATTTGCCAAATAATGTCAGTTGCCAATCGATTTAAAGCACATCATTGTGAAAATAATGGATGACTATCCAAGAAATTTAAGGTAAAGCCAAATCGTGATCATTTCAATTATGATACACGTTTATACATAGTGCCACATTCCAATACAAGCACTACCCAATGTTACCCAATGTTATTAATATAAGTAACACCAAGATTTTTATAGCTTTAGATTCTAATCAAGTTGCGAATTCAAACTATACGATTTCAGATATCAAGTCCACCCATATATATTCCCTCACCAAGGTACAGGTTTCACAAAAACTCAGTCAATATGCTCAGCAAAAGTATTTCAAAACCAGGTTCAACTTATTCCTCCAAGGTAATGCATTAAATAGAGGCGGGTGAAATGTTAATCTTACCATAATCAGCTTCAAAAAAACAGCAGTGAAAACCACCCCACACGATGCCCAATGACAGAGTCAAACTTCCACTACAAAATCAGCCCAAACAGCAGCCCCAACACTGCCATTTCAAGCCCGAATGCACAGCAAAAATAGCCACTGCAGCAGCACGGGTCGACCTCCAAAACAAGTATCATTCAAACATCAAAATTGTGGAGGAGGAAATCTCCACAAGCAAGTAAAAGGCTCAGCAAAATACAGTTCCAAAAATACAGTTAAAACAGTCCAAAATAAATTTTGCAGCTCCACAACTCCAGCAACCGTAAATTCAAAGCAAAAGTAAAGAGTTTATTTAATTAAAATTTGAATAGCAGCGTCAAGAGCACCTTCAAGAACGACCATAATCCACAAAAAATTTTGCAAAAACCAACAAGGAACATGGTTCAAAACATATGTCAAAATCTCGCTGTGTACAGTAGCTTGTTTCCCAAAACTCCTCAAATCGCAGGTAATTCAAATGGAATTGAAATCCAAGTAAATATCTTGGATTAGGAAGCCATTTCGCTCAGAATCTTAGAAGGATGTTCTTCAATTTTGCTTCAGACAACAAGAATCCCATCGTTCGATCAAAGGGTTGGCCGGCCGCATCCTTGCTCTGTTGCTGGTCGTCCTCGCCGTGGATGTCCTTCGGTCTGGTGGTGTCGCTGGCTGGCGCTATTGTCAGCCTTCTTGCCGTCGGGAGGCAGCTCGAAGAAGAAGACAGAAGAAGAGAGGCGGCGGCGGGCAGTCTTCGATCTAGAAGAAGAGACGCGAATATCTTTTGTACGGATGTACGGAGTATGTGCTAGGGTTTTGTACTCTAATTTAAAATAAAATAAGGAGTAATGTATTTGAGTAAAACACACTTTTCAGGCTAACATGCTCTAAATTATAATCTGTTTGCATCGTTGGATTTGATTAGTCGATTCTTATCCAACGATATAATTTTTATAATAAATGAATAAGAATTTACAACTTCCACCTGGTCCGTCTTGATTCATTCGATTAAATAACACTAATCAATCTTTTAATTTAAATATTTTCAATTACAATCTGATTAGTCTCATTTTATTGAGACAATTAGAATCTCTAAGTTATCTTTTAATCCTTAAAATGAATAGATTGTCGTAAATAAAAATTCTTATTTATTTAATTATTGATTAACTTCTAGGCCGGTTTCTAGGGCGTTACATCGTAGGTGTTGATTAACTCTCACGCGATGTCAAAAATATTTCATTTTTTAAAATAATTTTATTTACAAAATTGTATGATAAATTTGCCTAATATAATCTTTAAATGCATCAGATCGACCCTAATTAGATCGAATCATACCAAAACAGATTTAATTGAATCAAATTAAATTCAAATCCAATGTGATCAGATAAAAATTATTCAAAGAAAATCTATTCAGTTGTATATGTTATGTCCTATATGCCTGATCTAATCTTTAAACGCATTACATCAGACCTAATTAGATCGAATTAGAGTATTAGACCAAAACAGATCTAATCTGATCGAATCAAATTTGAATATAATAAGATCAGATCAAATCGTCAAAGAAGATCTATTTACTTATATACGTTGTGCCCTATTTCCCTGATCTACTCTTTAAATGCATCGGATCATACCTAATTAGATCAAATCGGACAAAAACAGATCTAATCGGATCAAATTAAAATCAAAATTAATAAGATCAAAACTTGAAAGAAATCTATTCACTTAACATGTTAAATCTCAGTTTAACATGTATATATATTGTTTAAATGATATCCTAATAAAATCAGATTAAATCAAATCAAGTTAGAAAGAATTTTTAAATATAACTAGAATTAGATCTATCAGATAAGATCTAATCAAATTCAAATCGAATAAGATTAGATCTAATTTAAAAAAAACAATTTACTTGTGTTGGTTGTGTCTTATTTTTTTTAAAAAAAACTTTAAATGCATCAGATCGGATCTAATTAAATCTAATTAGACCAAAACAGATCTAATCGGATTAAATCAAATTCAAATCCCATAAGATCATATATAGTCTTCAAAAAAAACAATTTACTTGTCAATGTTGTGTCTTATTTGCCAGATATAATCTTTAAATCCATGAGATCGGAATTTAGTTAATATTCTTAAAATTCAAATCTAATAAGATCAGATCTAATTTAAAAAAACAACTTACTTGTGTTGGTTGTGTCTTATTTTTGTGATATAAACTTTAAATGCATCATATCGGATCTAATTAGATCGAATCAGACCAAAACAGATCTAATCAGATCAAATCAAATTCAAATCCTATAAGATCAGATCTAGTCTTCAAAAAAATCAATTTACTTGTGAAGGTTATTTCTTATTTGCCAGATATAATCTTTAAATGCATGAGATATGAATTTAGTTAATATTACTTCATCTGTCCGTAAATATTCTTCCCATGTTGGCTTGGCACGCTTATTAAGGATTAGTAAAAAATGCAAAATTTGCAAAAATGCACATACTATAAACTTTTAAATCTCCTTTTATTATTAAAAAAGTACTAAAAAAGTAGATTTGTGATAAAATAAAAGGATATTATTGATATTTATCCTTAAAAAGTATACTAAAAAGGAAATGGGAAGAATATTTCTGGACGGACCTAAAAAAAAGTAGGAAGAATATTTTCGGACGGAGGGAGTATTAAAGTTTACCTCCAAATCTCTACAATTTTAATTTCTCTCTATCTAAATTCATTTTTCCTCCCCTAAATTTCATCCTCCCTCCTCCTAAATTCATTTTCCCTCCCCTAAATTTCATTCTCCCTTTTCCTAAATTCATTTTCCCTCCCCTAAATTTCATTCTCCCTCTTCCTAATTTCTCTTTTCCGTCCTCTAAAAAATCCTATTTCTCGTCGATTAAGGACCGAAGAAAAGAGTTCGCCACTTAGCCGTACCTTCATGCCTAAGCCAGAGCTGTCGATCCTCGTCGCTCCTATCTTCTTCGTCGCCATCGAGATACCTCGACACCGGGTAGTTTCTTCCGATCCCCATAGAGTACCACGATGGCGCATACACCCGCCTCAAACACCGTGTGAAGCCAACATCACAACCCCAATATCTACTACCTCCAATTTACAGGTTTTACTTTATCTTGAAAATACTCTAATGGTTAAATTATGTGAATTTCTTTGCATATCTCTTGAAAATATTCTAAATTCTTCAATTATATGAATGAAAATATTCTAATTCTTCAATTATGAGGATTTATTTATTTAATTTTTTTACCTCAATTTGATTTTTGAGGATTTATAACATGCATGTCTAAAATTTAGGTATGATATAAAGAAGCCATTTTGTTATTTCATTGGTCCTGTTTCTATCATTATATTTATTTACTAGATGCTAATTTAGTTCCTCAATACGCATCATGCCTGCTGGTTCTTCATTTATTTGCTTTTCCGAACAATTAGTTGATTTTGTTGCTGGACATGTGGTGTCATTGTTGTAACTATGATGTCAATTCAAATTAAATGGCCCTAAACTATGTAAGAAGTATGAACTTTGTCTCAGTGTTTGGTATCTGCTGGACGTTGCACCTTTAGTCTTAAATCAATCATAAAAGTTGTGATGTGTAATGGAGGGGTAGTGTGTTAGTGTTCATTGTATTGTGTATCATTGCCATTTGATTTAATGTAATTTGTCTTTGTAGGTGTATTTTGGTATAATTTGAAGGGATGCCCATAACGATGCAAGATGCTAAAGGTAAAGAATGGACATTTCAATTCAAGTTTTGGCCCAATAACAACAGCAAGATGTATGTTCTTGAGGTGTACACCCTGTATAGAGAATATGCAATTAGAGGCTGGTGATACAGGTATCCCCTGCTCTTTTTTTTCTTTTCATTGTCTATCATATATAAACAACTTAGGTTGATAATTCTAATTCACATACAATGTTTGAAATGGCATTGCACAATATGACTGATCTGATTTTTAAATTAAATTTTGATTACTAGATTATTATTTTGTTAGAAACAAATAGGTAAGCTTGGTAAAGTGGTATGATGAATTGATGAGTCAATTTTCCCAAGGACCAAGTCACTTGAATATTGTTTATGCTTATGCAATTGTCCTAAGCAAGTTTATGCAAAGCAACATAATATTTTGTGCGGTCAACCTTTAATAAAGGTAAGCCATATGTTCCAAATGAATAATGCACTAGTTTTTCCATTATAAGGCAATTTAGCCAGTGAAGTTAAATAAGTTATTTTTTAGTGAAAAAATAGTTTATAAGCTGTAAACGACTGCGAAAGAGGCTCTTATAGTTCTTCAATATCAAACGTGTTACTAAAACTCTTAGACTGATTATCTTTATGATTTTGTGGCAAATGTAGGTGGATGACATTGACTGTAGATCATCATCATTCACACTGGATATGGCTGCAAGGATGACGAATTG